AGAGAGAGAGAGAGAGAGAGAGAGAGAGAGACACATATATATGGGTTTGTTTTTCTGGGGTTTGTTTAGTTTTTTTGGTTTTAGGTTTGTTTTTTGTTTTTAATGTTCATTAGTGTTTCGACTGCATGTGTGAGGGTGACAGAAGCCAGGAACTGGATTCATGGACAGGTGTGAGCTGCCAAAGTCCCATGGAAGGGCAACCACTGCTCTTAACTGCTGAGCCAGTTCTCTCTAGCCCCAAACATGTGATGTTTGGTTTTGTTGGGTTTTTTTTAGAAATTTTGTTTTGTTTTGTTTTTTAAGATTTATTTATTTTATGTATGTGAGTGCACTGTCACTCTCTTCAGACACACATCAGAAGAGGGCATCAGATCCCATTACAGATGATTGTGAGCCACCATGCAGTTGCTGGGAATTGAACTCAGGACCTCTGGAAGAGCAGTCAGTGCTCTTAACCGCTGAGCCATCAGCCCCAACCCTTAGTTTTTTAATTGCAGATAACTCTACTATGCCTGGCCTAAGGAAAGGATAACTTCTTGTAAGATTTCTGCAGTGGCAGCACTAGCTGTACTAAATGGAGCAAAGGTCGGTAAGGAGAATGGATTACCTTGAGAGGGCGAGGCCGGTCAGGTTCCTTCCAGCGCAGGTAAAGCTGACCCACAATAGAAAGCCCCACAAAGAACCAGTAGCTGAAGCTATAGTAGTTAATGAGCTGGAAGATGTCCTCCACACACAAGTAGACCAGCGCCAAGATACCCTGTTGGTACAAGTCCAAAGTCAGCCCCTCTCAGGCTTTCACCCTACTCAATCTCTCCCAGGTCACAGCTTCACAGTCTGCAAGTCGGCCTTCTGCCCCCACCCCTGGAGCACTCTTGGTACTGTACCCCTCTCTACTAAAAGATTGCCTTTAGCTGGGCAGTTGGTGGTACACGCCCTTAGTCCCAGCACTCTGGAGGCAGAGGTAGGTAGATCTCTGAGTTCGAGGCCAGCCTGATCTACAGAGCAAGCTCCAGGACAGCCAGGGCTACACAGAGAAACTCGAAAACAACAAAGATATTTGCCTCTCAACTAGATTTTTAGTGCATTCTTCAAACACTTGCCAAATTAACCCTAACACTTTAAGTGTCTTAGGCAGAAGTCTTAGGCAAAACCCTGTAGTCTCTCCAACTAACTCTTCAACTTCCATGACCCAGCTCCACCAAGTGTTACTGCAGGACTCTGTGATGCTGTCTGCCTTGCCTAAAGCCCATCTCCACAATCCTAACCTTCATACTCCACCTTAAAAATGCCCTCTCCAACATATTTTTTCTCGGCCAACTTCTTTTTCTTTTAAAGACTGCGTCACACACAATCATGCCTGTTACTCATTACAGTGTAGCCTGTGTCTCACTCCTTCTACTGGACCACATGCAGTTGGCACTTTTCACGGAAGTTTGAGTCTTAGAAACTCCATCCGCAGATAGCACGGTGCATCCGTAGTTTACAGACCAGAACCCTCTTTATGGCTTTCAGGAACCTAGACCAGCCTCATCTAGTACTAACAAGTTCCCCCACGATCTGGCTGTCAGTCTCATCCCTGAGATCACTCACATTGAAGAGTAGAGAAGGCACTGGTGTGAACCGTTCAACATGAATCATACAGATGGCATCAGGGAGGTGACCTTCTCTCGAGCCTACAAATAAAAGCCTGTTGAGATACAATAAGAGAAGCTGACAAAACTGGGGCACTTAGGGTAGCCTGGGTCACCTGCTACATCATTCCCTGTTATCCCTTCAGAGGGTCTGAAGAACAGAGAAGGGAGTTCAGTGTGGAGCTTAGAACTGGGCGTGGCTAATGGGAACAAGAAGAAAGGGATGGGGAATACTGGCAACTGGAATGCCTAGAAGTTTAACTGTCTCTGCCAAAGCTATTCATAATACCCACCCTGTGATAGTCATACCTAGAAGCAGCCACAATGGAAGCGTTGAGGCCACCAAAGCAAGATAATGCAACTGCTACTGGGATTGTCCAGTTGAATATTCCAAAAATCTGATCTGCAAAAGTCTAAGAAAAAGGAGAAGTCAGTAGCAGATCCTAACAGGGATGAAAGGCATGCACAGACATATGCCCAAAGTCCTCAGGCATCCAATCCCTTCCACAGTGGAGGTAACAGGACCTTCTTGAAAGCCCAGCATCCTTGTGCTCTTATCAGGCTGTCTGCTCCCTTCCCAGGACTGAGCAAAGTGGAATAGATTGAGGAGCCCACAACACACCCTTAACCTGCTAGTGAAAATCATTTACCACGGCAACAGCATCACTGGCCAAGATGTCCTTTATGTCTAGCACACTGTAATAGGCCACATTGGTCAAGAGGTAGATGACGGTGACAATGGGCATGGAAATGCCAATGGAGAGGGGCAAGTTCCTACAGCCAAACAGAAAGAAAAAAAAGAATCTGTCAGTCCCACCATTGTGTCCCTACCTCTTGTCCTTAAGTCTGCCATGCCATCCTCTCTGGGGATGCAGACAGCTGTGGTTCCCAGGTCCTTTGCCTTTGGGTTGCCTTGAAGTATTGGTGTAAGCTCTAAGCCCTTAAAAAGTACTAGGGGGAGAAATAC